TCAACCAATAAATAAGCAAATAATAAAAATAACAAGGCAGTTTTCAATAAAAAAACATCAGACACATCAGTGCTTGGCTGGCTCAGTCAGTAGAGCATGCGACTCTTGATCTGAGGGTCATGAGTTCAAGCCCCATGTTGGGCATGGAGCCTACTTAAAAAAAAAAAAGTTAAAAAGAAGCACAAACATTAGACACACAGAAGATAAAAACCCTAGAAAGCAAAGGCTGTTGAGGAGCAATTGGAATCCTATCAGACTGGTAGTGGGAATATGTAATTGTGCACTTTGGAAAACAGCATGGCAGTTCTTCAAAATGTTAAATATGAAGTTATGATACCGCCCAGTAATTCCACTCCTAGGTATGTAGCCAAAATAAATGAAAACCTAGGCCACACAAAAACGTGTACACAGATGTTCATAGCAACCATTTCATAATTGAGCAGTGTGAGCCAGAAGTGGAAGTAACACACATGTCCATCAACTAATGAATGGTTTAATAAATGTGGCGTATCTATACAATGGCATTTTATTCACTAATAAAATAGAATGAAGTCCTGATACATGGTACAATATGGAGGAACTTTTAAAACAGTATGCTAAGTGAAAGAAGCCAGTCAACAATATAATACATGACATAATTCCCTTTATATGAAGCAACCAGAACAGACAAGTCTAGAGAATGGAAAGTAGATGAGTTGATGCCGAGGGCTGGCATTCGGGTAGAATGGGGAGTTAACTGCTAAGAGGTACACTGTGTCTTTGGGTGGTGAGAGTATATATTCTAAAATTAAATAGTGTGTATGAAACCAGACCTTTGTGAATACATTTAAAAAATATTGACTTGAACACTTTAAATGGGTTACTTGTAAGTTATGTGAATTGTTTAAAGCTGTTAAAAAAAGGAAAATTAATTGTAAGCTGGTTGGGAGAAGTAACAGTGATTGTGTGATAACTTAAAATAATTAAGTTAAAATAAAATAATTAAAATAAAATATGGGGGGAAGGATTGGGAAGAGACAGATACTAGATAGATAGATATTAGATAGACATTAGATAGATGATAGATGAAAGATAGATGATAGATAGAAGATGATAGATAGAAGATAATCTCAATGAGTTGAAATATGCATAAATAGAATATTAATGGAACTTCAAAGAACACTGAGAGAAAACTTTAAGTATAAGTTAGAGAGCAAAAGCCGAAGATTGAGCTATATGTTTTGTATTCTCTTACAAGAATTCTCTTCATATTCATTATGAAAATATTGGCTGTTTTCTCATAATGCAAAATTAGTGTAAGTTTTGGCCTTTGTACAGATCTTTTGGTCTAGTTAAAGGACTGTGCTATATAAATGTAATGTCCCAATGATATGGAGCCCATAAAGCTACTTCTCTTGAATCATAGACTATCAGTAGTTAAAGACTATTCATATTTAAGTCAAATGATAAGTATAAAGAATGCAATTATCTGGAAGAGGTAAAAATTTAGCTAAATCTAACTTTGCATGATAAACAGTAAATATGAAAAGTCTGTTGTGAGTAGTTTTCTTATTTTGTAGACATATCAAAAAATCTGTTCTGAAAAATCCATGTAGATTAATTACTCTTGATGATTAATTGCCCTTTATATTTATGTCTAATATTTTATTCATAAAAATAGTAAAAATGTTCTTTTCATGTGCTCTAAAATATATGTGACCACTTTTGAGGATGCCACCGTGTTTGCCTATTACAATACATGAGTCTACTAAATACTCATGTATTGTATTTCTTATATAGTCTAAAAGAGTAGTTTCCAAGCACAATGCAGAACCTAGCATTTATAGATCTTTTAAATCCCTTTTTCTAGAAAACTTTCTTTTTTTAAGTTTTTATTTAAATTCCAGCTAGTTAACATAAAGTGTAATATTAGTTTCAGGTGTACAATATAGTGACTCAGCACTTCCATACATCACCCTGTGCTCATAATGACAATTGCCCTCCTTAATCCCCATCACCTATTTCACCCATCACCCCACCAACTTCCCCTCTGGTTACCATCAGTTTGTTCTCTACAGTTAAGAGTCTGTTTCTTGGTTTGCCTCTCTCTAGATAACTTTCTAAATCATACTTTCAGATATCAAACACCAAAAAAATTTGTCTTTACAGTTTACTCTTCAAATTTTTCATTTAAATGATTATTAAGAAAAAACATGTGATAAATTTCATGTTCTATGAGTCTAATAACAAATATGATGTTGTAAATGTGTTCAGTCTGTGATTAAAGGAAAGGAAAGATAAGTGAGATACGTTTTAAAAGAAATCATACTGTTGGGCGCCTGGGTGGCTCAGATGGTTGAGCGTCTGCCTTCAGCTCAGGTCATGATCTCAGAGTCCTGGGATCGAGTCCCGCATCGGGCTCTCTGCTCCTTGGGAGCCTGCTTCTCCCTCTGCCTCTCTCTCTCTCTGTCTCTCATGAATAAATAAATAAAAATCTTTAAAAAAAAAAGAAATCATACTGCTGTTATAAGAAATATTGATTTGGCCTCAGTATTTTAAACATATACTTACAACAAAGTAAGCCTAAAAATACAAGGTAAAAAAAAAAAAAGAATTATTGTTCTTTTATAGTTTCCTTTTAAAATCATATTGGGTCACTCTACATTGCCATTTTCTTTTCTAAATTAATACTGCAGTAGCCTTTGAGATATCAGGGTAGGCAATGTCATTGTCATCTTAGTCATTCATTACCCTTGCATTTTAACATTGCTGGCAAAGTGACTGTCATAATCAGTTAATAACCTCTCTTATATTATAATAAAGTAATGTATACTCATTGCAAAGGTTATGAAAAACAAAGAAATATAAATAGAACTTTTAAAAGTGAAAGTAAATCTTCCACCTAGATTTAGCCAGTGGTAACATTTTGCTTTATTTCTTTCCCAGCATATTTTCTGCAAAATTTTTCTTCATTTTATTTTCCAAAATATTTGGAATATATGTATCTGTGTTTTTTAAGTGAACTTTATTGCATAATTTTTAATAGGTTTGATCTGAAGTCAATTAGAAGTTTATTGAGGCATATTTTCAGCTCTTCCAAAATTTCTCAGTGTTTTCCAGTGGTAGAAAATATAAGCTTATGTACTTAGTTCAGATCCCAACTCTTCTCTGTGCCATCTGCCTAGAATGATAGTATATTTTACTTTTACACCACGTATCTACTTTAATATTAAAATAATATATTGCTAAAACATTTGTGAATTAAAAGCCATTATTAGGGAATAAAAAGATGTTAATGACAATGAAATCACAACAAAGAAAACAGATTGGCACAAGCCAACCACACTGAAGAAAGCATACACGTATTTGGTTCATTGGCCAGAACAAAAGATGGCTGAATTTGTACTGTACTGACTGAAAAGCTCTACTATAGAAAGGAACAGTGGCATTAAACTTAATAGGTCTGTATTTATTTTTCTATTAAATCAGAAATCATTTTGGGATGCCTGGGTGGCACAGTTGGTTAAGCGTCTGCTTTTGGCTCAGGTCGTGATCCCCGGGGTCCTGGGATGGAGCCCTGTATCAAGCTGCCTGCTCAGCAAGGGGTCTCTTGTCCTTCTCCCTCTGCTCCTCCCCCCCATGCTCTCTCTCACGCAATCTCTCTCTCTAATAAATAAATAAATAAATAAATAAATAAATAAAATCTTAAAAAAAAAGAAATGATTTAGTGAACATACTAGAACTTTAGCCAATAAATGAGAATGATAGTTTCCTTGATTGGATTATTTAATTTTGGAGAGCAGCAAGCCTTTAAGAAAACATATTTTGAGTAATTAGAATTTTTTCTACGTTAAATGCCCTAGAGAGTGGCGTAAGAATGGAATCTGTTTAGTGACTGGCAATGAAAGCTGAAATCCGATTCATGTATTCAAATTGGTAACCTAATCACACAGAAAAACACATAAATCTTTTCAAGTTACTTTAGAACAATGCACTCTTACTGTACATTGATAAAGGGATATGTCATAAAGAAAAAAATATAAAGAAACCATACAGTTTATCAATAGTCTGTTAGTAATTGATACATTATATCAATAGTCTGTTAGTAATTGATACATTAACTGTAATTTAAAATACTTCATTAGTGATGCTGGGTAACACATCAAGTAAATCTATTAATGTTATTAAGAATCACAAATTTTGGCATATGTGCAAAGACTGCAAAAAGCAAATCAAATAATTTAAGCCCCACTTATTTTTAATTTATTGTGTCTTTCTATTTACATATCTATGAATTTACAAATGTATACATATTTTTTCTAATTTTTTTTTTTATTTACAAGGCTTGGAAGCAAAAACATCCCAGTAACAATAAATGCATGTAGCTCCCAGATCTTGGTTCATAGTATAATTTTCCACTCAAAAGATCCAATGTTGGGAGGATACATAGTTTGGACAAGTTCGGAATCATGAAATTCCCAGGTAAGTGTTTAGTACCTCGCCATGCCAGGGAACAGGAAATTCTGAGAGACGAGAAGAGTTTGCAAAAGGACTGAGGCCACCTTTGGGGTGCTTGCCATAGCTGCACGAGAGCATTACATGATTCTAATTAATTATAAAATATGAAACAAATATAAACCAATGAGTCCATAGTGATACCCAAAGAAGGATAAAAAGAACTTATTTTACACCATATGGAGTATCTAAGACACCATGTGTTTATTCAGAAAATTGGTAATTTCAAGGAAAATAAGCAAGCAGTTATCCTGCTTTTTTAGGAGGATCATATTTAATGCTGGGAAATCTATTCATCTATTCATGATGTTCTTTAATCTATATTATTATTAATAATAATATCTTAGGCTTAGATTATTCAAGATTATATGGGTTCAGCATTGGTGGGCTATATTCTGCTTTTCATTGAAAAGGAAATAAAAGAAGAAAGGAAGGAAGGAAGGCCAAATGAAATAAAATTCACATAATTTATATGAATTAGGTTTATATAATTCACATAATCGTGTTCATGAAATAAAAGGATCTCAACAGTTCTACACAACCTCAATAAAGATTTCGGGGAAATATAGTCATATAGTACAATTAGCAATAATCGCGCCTCGGATAAACCTCATTGGCTACAATACTGCACTGCGCAAAGCTAGTCATATAGTACAAAACAAAGAGAAAGAATGTTATTGTGTTGCACCTCTTCTATTTCTGCTAGGACAAAACAGGCTACTTGCACACGTCACATGCATATGAGGGAATATTTTAATGACCATAATCATTCTATAGAGTCATAAAATTGTTAAGTACTCATTTTTTTTCAAATTAATGGGTATTGAAAATACTGGGAGAAGGAAGAAATAAGAGGATGATTTCCTTATGACCAAGGAAACCGCCTCTCAGAATCTATTAAACTGATTTTTCTTCAAGGCTTATGAAAACAAATGAAAATGCAGTCTTTTTTTTTAATAAAATTGAATTCAGTATTTAATATGAAATCTCTCTCTATATAGGTAACTAATTTATTATTCTAGTACGAAACGTTAAAGTTCATAGTTAGAGAATGCTTTGCACTCTTGCTTCTCTTGTCAGAGATCACATTTCCTGACACAAGGAGTAACTTGCTCCAATGAGAAACAACGGGGCCGGCGTAGTCAAAAAGCACAACCTAAGGTATAAAGTCACAACATTCTTGGACTAGAAGGGCCTATCTGTGCCTGAACACAAATCTATTTCCTGGATTTCAGAGTTATCTAAACAAATTAAGTTGCCTTTTGTTTTACCTACATGGAGTTGAATTTTGGTCACTGGTACCAGCAGAACCGCAACTGATTAAACAAGCAGTGAAATTTTTACTAAAAGTTTGTGGGAGAAGGAGTTTCGAAAGACAGAAAGTCTAATGTTAATTAGTCTGGAGATACTAATGAAAAAAGAAATCAGGGGGAGATGAAGCAGCTGGTTACCAAGAGTATTTTAGGCTATGTGTGGGGAAGAAGAGAATGATTTAATGCATACTTTAAATTAAATTTTGCATTATTAAGTGTGGTATAACTCTAGCTTCTGTATCTGCCACTGAAGTTTTAGTAAAATCATTCCATAAAGTGGTAGGATCAGGTCTGGAGGTAGCTTATGGGGAACAAATCTTTTATCTTGAAAAAATAATTATTAACATAAATTGTTATATTCGATCCATTTTGAGAGGCACTTTAAGACTGGTCACATTATTGCTAAAAATAGAAAAATAAAGTATAAAAAGACTAAACACAAATAGAGTTGGGGGTGGGTTTGAAAATATTTCATGGTGACCATTCTTTTGTTTAAACAAAAGAGGAACCAAAAGCCCATATATTTAAATGACCCTGAAGGAAAATAATTGTTAAGCAGAGACGTCATTCAGTGTTCGAAAAAGCCCATTATGACTAACCTCACAATACAAGAACATTTACTGTGGAAGTTAATGCACTATATATTACTTATTCAAGTACATTTAGCCAATTGTCAAAGACTTCAAAATTGAGCTAGATATATTATACACAAGAGAATACTTCACTTTGAAATCCCCACACATTTTTAGAATAGATAAGGGTGAAATCCAGAGTAAGACTTTTTATATTAGTTGTTGTTCTGTATTAGGAGAATGAGTTTTGCATATTCATATAATCGTGTGCATGAATATTAAAGGAATATTACATTGTCATCTTATTAGATTACCGCCAGCTAAGTCAAAAAAGAAAATCTGAAAATCATGGTTAATATTTAGCTTCTATCTTGATCATTACCAGAGAAGGTTATTATTACCTGACATTGAACCAAGTTATGCCTTTTTAACATTCTGCACCATTGTCGTAGCCAGTTAAAAAGCACAAAAGAACAGAACTATAAGGATAAATGATAAAAGAAAATAAGTGCAGAAAAGGATAAAAGGATTGTTTCTTCCATTGGGTTTTATTTCTGAGACATCCACTCCTAATCTTTATTAAAGCGAGTAATTAACATGAAGCATATTCAGGGAGAACTCAGTAGTAGCACATGAAGTCATTTCCTGAATCTGGTCTATGTAGAACATGGTAGAATTAATATTTAAACAGTTTAGCTTTTCAGCTACAGAATGTGTTAAAAGTCGGGTGACCTGGGTCCCCTTCAGGTTGTTTCTTGTTAGAAAATTCTAGTTTATCTGGATCTCACAATACCAGAAAAACAATTAGTTTCGGCAAAAGCAATTTGAACGACTTTCTGTTTGGGACAATTTGTTGTACTATCACTAAAAATGCTGATATATTGCAGCTTAGAAGGTGAAATTTATCTTAGATAGTACTGATAAAGCAGCAGAAAATGACGTTACCTTAAACTTGCTTCACTGGCTCCCATCAAAAGAGTCTTAAGGGGATTTAAGGTAACTCTTAATCTTCCCATCCTTTCTAGGAGAAAATCTGTCAGAACTCTGTTGTGACTTAGATACATATTCCCCTTCCTGAGGAAAGTTCCCTCACTGCCCAGTAATGCAAGTCCTGAGAGGAGTCATAAATCTTATTTGGAGAGTGGAGTTACAGTCTGAACCAAGGAGGACATTTGGAATTTGTGCTCCTTTGGGCTGGAGTATTGTTTAGTTACATAACGTATTTTTGTATTATGGTGTAGTGGATACAAATGTGTTGAATATGTGCATTTTTTGTACAGCTTCAAAGAAATGAAACAAAAGAGGATTTCTCATATGTTTGAAGTAGTGATTGAAAATTAATATGAAAAATATTTTAGGGGAGCCTGGGTGGCTCAGTCATTAAGCTTCTGCTTTGGCTCAAGTCATGATCCCGGGGTTCTGCGATCGAGCCCCCTGCTCAGTGGGAAGCCTGCTTCTCCCTCTCCCACTCCCCCTGCTTGTGTTCCCTCTCTCGCTGTATCTCTCTCTGTCAAATAGATAAATAAAATCTTTAAAAAAAGAAAAATATTTTAGCTACCTAATACAACTGAAGGCTCAAAGCAAATGTTGATACCAAAAGACATTAAGGAGAATTCTGTTAAAATAGGCCAAAACTTGGGGCTCATCTGAAGAGCACTGGATCTTGATCAAGGTCTGCTGAGATAAGCTCCAGACAATTTCAGTTGTTAGATGACCACAGGTATTTTGGACTGAAGGGCCTCTTAGGAAGTGTTCTTAGTAGCCCTGTGTTCTGTTTTGCATGACGTATAGGGAAAGTACACACAACACATCACACAGAATCCCCACCCTACTATGTGTTTTCTGCACTTGAGGCCAAGAACGTGTTTGTAGGTGGAGGATATCAACAGTTAACAGTTGTCTGGGCAAAATGAAACAATTGCATATGGTATTCCAACCTGTGTTATTAATCTGAAAAGACTTGATTCTTCGGTCCTGCTGAGGTTCTATATGTCTCACTACTCTAGGTTTGTGAAGGTCTAACCATTGTAGAATGGGTTTGCCATCAGGAATTGGCTGAGGTGGATTTGCACTATATTGTGTTCACTTCTACTGGCACAACTTAACTGCCCTTCTGAGTTGCCAGTTTCCAGAGGTACACCAGTTTTGCTGCCTAAGAACAAAATTTAGGAAATACCAGACAAATATATACCTATGCAGTATATCACAATGAGCTAAGAACCACAATTCAGAATTCAATTATTTATAACTGAGAACGCATGTGTTTTTTTAGTATTGCTGTGATTTTTATCTTTTATAGCTGTTTCCTTCAAGGTTCTGTGACCTTTATCTAGCTTTTATTTTCTTTCTATACTGCGGTATTCTCATAGGTAGATTTGGTGCCTCTTACAAAAAATGGATGGGAAAAAATGTCATTTTATTTTTATGATTTAATTTAGTTCCAAATTTGGTTAGAAAATATCGATAAAAAAGTTTTAATAAGTGAGTTACAGTCTCATTCCTATGTCATATTTACCCAATTAAGAAGTCAGTAACTTCATACTTAAAAGCTAGTATACTGTGTAGGAACACAAATCTGGAAAAAGATTGTGTTCTGAGTGCTTTGAGTTTAGCTAATTGTAAAAAACAAAGCAAAACAAAAACAAACAAAACTCCCTCTATTTTACATGTTATTTCGCCAACGGGTCATGTTATCAGAGGCAAAGAGAAATCCTCAAAATAGACTTTAAAGTATATTAATACCTTGCATATCTTAATAAGTGAACATACTACTTGTAAGCAAAGAGATACTTCCAATATGTTAAAGTGACTTGTAATAGTTTCAATCCTTTTGTCAGATGGTGCCAGGTTAAATTATTGGGAGGTGAACATTAAAAAATACATTTACTTATTTGGATGCAGATAAAAATTGAGAATTAAAAAAATCATGTAACTTAACTTAAAATGTCAGTACAACAGACTGTCATCCATAAATTTTCATATAAGGATTTTGAGGAGATGGCTCATTTTTATCAAATGAAAGCAATTATATGTTTGAACCCTTATCAAAACTCTTACACAAACTTACTTTCAGCCTCTTGCACATGAAAGCATGTTTAAATTTAATCTGATAATCCTGACCCTGGTTTTCCTACATTCTAATGTGAAGGTACTCTGCATTTCCTTCCCTTGCCTCCACATGTCGCCATTGTTACCACATTCTGCCAATGTTCTTTCTATAAATTCATCTCACCGTGGGGAGCTGTGCCTCCTTGTTCATTAGAAGCTAAGTGGGTATTTCTATCACTGCATTCTTGTATTTTCAGTGCTTGTTTTTCATCAGAGCAGGGATGTTCATGTCTGTGATCTTGTAATCTGCTACACATTGACCGTATTCTATCTCTTGGGAAATCAGTACCTGTAAATATTTACAAAATTTTTTGGTAAACTGTATTCACATGTAACGTGTATTTACTAAATATATATTTAACTCTATGATAATGGTTTATTTTCTCCTTGGATTGAAAGCAATAACATGCTATTACTATGGTATCTCATTTTACAGGGTTCTATCAACACAGAAACCAACATACGCCAACTGAAATCAAAGGCTTAGTGCTGTTTTGTTAAGTAAAAGGAGGAAATGGGTTAAGTCAGTAAAGAAGGCTAGATTTGTCTTTGAGCCTTTTTATAACCACCTGGGTCTATCACAATGGTAGTAATTCTGGGATTATTCTTCTGGGTTGCAAATCTGCTGTGAAGTGCCACGAAGAGCTAG